CTAATCAGATTACGTACGGTAAAGCACGTGCTATAGCCGAGCTAAGCACGTGTAACAAAGGGACGTATAGCATGCAAGGTTTCTTTCCGTGCAGCATTTACTAATCAGATTTACTAATTAGATTTATTAATCAGATTTACTAATCAGATTTACTAAGCGAAGCGTTCTTTTTTTGTTCTGCGTCGAGTTTGTGTTTCAAATATTATAATTCACCTTTGTTGAATCGAGGCATTGCATCGATTATTATTAAGCGACGCGTTATTTTCTTTGTTCCGCGTCGATTCATTGTTTCAAAACGCGTTATTTTCTTTGTTCCGCGTCGATTCATTATTTCAAATATTATAATTCACCTTTGATGAATCGAAGTAATGCCTCGATTACGATTAGGCTATACTTTTATTTTTATATAAGTACTCGCTCCTTTTTTTTTCTTTTTCTTTTTTTCATTATCACTTTAACACTTAACTTCTCAACCTTAACCTCAACACTTAACTTCTCAACTTCAACCTTAACACTCAACTTCAACTTTTCAACCTTAACACTTAACTTCAACTTCTTAACTAACCTTAACACTCAATTACAATTATATTTAACTTAGGTAATTATTTTCCTTTTGATTCTTTGCTTTTTGATTCTTTGCTTTTTGATTTCTTGCTTTTTAATTCTTTGCTTTAAGCTAATTATTTTCTTTATTTAGCAATGTCGATTCTTTTCTTTTATAACGCTATAGTCGAAGTCAACCCTTTTAGCACTGGTAGCAATAAGCTAATCAACGAGATACTTGGTCGCTACAAGGATTTCGTAGTCGTTTATGCTAATAGTAGCGTTGTTAATTCAATATTTACTTGCTATAACGAGGAGGATACCGCTTTGTTTCTAAGACTAATCGGCCTCGAATACGAATAGAAGGGTCGCAAAGGTTTTATCAACGAGTTCGGCATCAAGCATTACGGTGCTAATAAGGTTAATAATAACATTTATATTTTATGATCACTAATTGATTTTTTATTTAAAAGGAGAGCGCTTAAGTCCTTTGTCTCTTCGATTACTTTGTTTCTTTTCTTAACGCAATTAAAAAGCAATTTACTCATAAAGATGTCAAGGTTCGATTGATC